AAGGATATATTATTATTAATTATTAATATTGTATACGCAAAAAGCTAGATACAATAATGTAACCCAAACACAGGATAGGTTGGACACTTATTGAAACACAGGATAGGACACCTATCATGTGTTTGGGTTACATTATTTTATCTAACAAAAAGCATGACTAGCAAGTTTGTTGTATAAAGAATTGATCATATGAGCACTATGTCTCTTTGGGTTTTTAAGTGCAATTATGTTTATATGTCATACCTCTTCATAACATTCAACATTTGTTGATCTTGTCTACACTGCACGTTTAAATTGTAATATTGCATACCAGTTAGCTTATTTATTTACTTGTTATTTCTGATTCTCTTGAGTTATTGTTCGTTGTAATTATGTTTTGTTATGTTAATCTTTTTGACGGATCATACCTGTTCTCTTTTGCGTAATCACTATTTATCTTTCATTATGTATCTTTATAGTTATGTTAAACTCATGTATCATTTAACAGCCATCATATAATGTAATAATATCACATTTAAGGAGTGGCTGACTCGAAGACTTCCCAGTCAACTCGCCCTCCTACGCAATTCTGATACTAATATTCCCATTATACAGTATATTGTAATGCGTGAATAAACATGTTTGAATTTGAATTGAATTTGAATTAGCACACTTGACTTATTTACATTCACATTGTGGTCCTTGATATCACAATCCTTGTTATCACAATCCAGAACATGAGCATTAAAACCAATCAATAATAAAACGCATTGCAATAAGATCGTGTTGCCTGTGATGTGACACAATGACAATGTCAATGTGACAATAGTGACATTGACGACTGACGTCACACTTTGGTAAATTACTTGCGACTTCTCCGATTCTAGTGGCGTGTCCTGGTCAAGCACTTCGTCGACATCGGAGAGAGCCAAAGCCTGTGTCGCGTCCAGTGCATCGGCATTCATCATGCTGGGGAGAGCCAAATAATCAAAGTTTGAAGTTTACGTGGTAACTAACAAATACTATGTACACATCAGGGGAGCGATGTTCCCGCTACATGTTTATTAAACCTTGAACGTTCACTTATTGCACCGGTTACTCACCGCGTGTTCTCGCGAGGTTTTCTGGTCTGTGTTCTCTCCGCTCAGGTTTTGTAGTTCGCTCGATTAATTTTTAGTAGTATTGCTAGTTTTAAACACATTTCCAGTCGACACGGTGAAAGACAACAATGGGCGTCCAAGTGGAAACAGTAACGCCGGGAGACGGTACAGTTTTAGAGTAATCAATCATTAGTTACATGATATATCTACAATATAGTTCATGCGCGATTAATATCATCGTTATTGAATTTTGCTCTTTCATGATACTGATAGACCTAGCCGGTGCCGCACCCGACACGTGCAGTAAAGCCTCGTTTGTAGGAATAAGGAAATCACTTAGCTACCTTTTATAATTGCTATGTCACATTAATGTGTATGTGCGTTTTGTAATTGTATATTTTGTATTATTTCAGGGGAGACATACCCCAAAAAAGGTCAAACGGTGGTTGTTCACTATACAGGTAGGTTATCTCTAGAGTTTAGACCGAATAATTCTGTCCCATATAACCTTTTTTATATTTTGGTGAGGCTTATTGGGACAGAACGGGGTTCATTGAAATTTTATGAGATCGCATGCAAAATGCATGCGCTGTGAATGCAGCCCGTACGCCGCTATTGGCGCGAAAAAAAAACTACTGTTCCCTTCTACATGGCTTTACCTTGCTACTGATATGTGTATACATTCACTTCAATCGTTATTCACTTCTTAAAAGATTGTTTTTCAGAAACCCCGCTTCATTTAACTTTAGTAAATTA